AGACAGTAAGGACAGTATAGGATTGTGGTTCATTAGCCAGTGATGGAGTTTTAAAATGTAATTGGGTTGTTCGTGTTGTCATTGCGGTGCATTCTGCTGTCGGGGATGCGCATGTGGCCGAGAATATTCATGTGGCGTTTGAATGTCCCAAAGTATTGTGGGCAGGTGAGAAGCTGTATGCGTTCTTTGCCGGCCGTTCACCAGGGCGCGGTTTTCCAAACCAGACCCGGCCAGAAGGGCGAGTATGCTCAATCGTAGAGTAAAGAACCTGACTGTTGAGTAGCAAAGTAGACCCAAGCATTTGCAGCGATTTATAAGTAGGCTCTACTTGATCATTTAACATGGAAATTCATCGCATGTGTTATCTAACAATTCGCACTATTGCATGCTCATCAGTTATAAAAGACAGAAAGTACATTTTCATTCTAGACAGCTTTCTTTTCAATTGTATTCTCTATCTCGTATTATTTTTCTAACCAGACACTCAGCTAGCTAGAATCGTAGCGGTTATGGTTAGATTAAGTTGCCTTGAAACCGCTTGCTTTATTCCCGTATGTTTTCACACTTAAGGTCTCAACGAGGCACCAACAAGTTATTCTCAAACCAAGGCCGTTCACAGGGTGAAAATGTCTACAATAATAACTATGGAGGCGGTGTCACCTACTCTACAGCCAACGTGGAATATATAAGTGAATACGGCGGGACCGCTGGAAGTGGATTCATTTCTTCTGCTGGCAACACTGGTGTTTATCACGGTGGCCACATTATCGACGCAAATAACGCCAGTGGAATGCCTCAAATTGTTGCTGATCCTGCGTTTGCAAACGTCCTGGATTATGAATGGTCCTCTGGCCTGGATAGCAGCGAACTTATCCAGCCACTTGGAGGTCCTCAGGCGATCGCCCAACTCTCTGACTACAGTCTTGAAAAACTAGGTCGAGCCCAGTTCACTGTTGTTGACCCTCGAGCTGACATGGAGTTCGCAAATTGCCCTCTGGATCTTGTTGTGGAGGAGGAGGACATTCCCCTAGATGCTAGTGAAATCCTTCGTGTAACTGGAGCCGAGAGCTTGGAAAAAGTTACGACTTTATCAGTACCCTGCTGTGGTTACACAAGTATCAACGCATTTGATCTTGCAAGGTGCTTTAATCTTCGAGAAGTGGACCTTTCGGAGAATGCACTACGCGTATTTCCCCGCCGCCTCCATTTACCCAATATGAAGCGGCTTGATTTGACGGGGAACCGTTTCATTCATTTACCACTCATTGAACAATTCCCGAAATTGACCCGCTTAACTATGGACGAGAAGATGAAACAAGTAAGAACCTGTTTGTTTCCATCCTCGGATTGGTGCTTTTGGTTAGCTTTTGTTTATACGCTGTTAGCGTATGCCAAGAATATGCACGTTAAGGAGGAGGTGTCACTGTTGATATATTCTTCTGCCTCGCATGCTGCCGCTAAGTTAGTTTTTTGAGCCAACAGTCATGAAATTTCGCGTAAATCGCAAGCTCTTCTTTATTTTCCTCATCACATAGAAACTATTCTACCAGCCTCAGCTGCAAACGACAATAAGCATGTGTGTGAGCTCCATGAGGCATCAAACGGGACGGGTGTGTCCTGTACCTGATCGGTCTACGCTTTTCTGCTAATGCATATTCTCGATCAAGAACAGACAAGAAAGCGAGCCCGTAGCCTAGTGGTTAGGGCATTGGACTTCTAACTAACAAGGTCGTGGGTTCGAAACTCGAATGTGGCAGCAATTTTGCGGCAACACTAAAGTTGGGTGTCACTAGCTGACGACGGCTAATGGGCCAGAAATGGCCATCCTAGTGTCCCCCTGTCTTTGTCGGTCATGTCCTAAAAACCGTAAACTATGTTTGATTTTAGCGTAAAATGGCATTATTTACCTCGATAAAGGGACAGCTTTATTGGTGTGCTATTTGGAACTTCACGCGTTTTTCACTTTCTTTTGTATGCTTAGATGACCTGGACTTGCCATGTGGGCTGCGGAAGTTTCACCGTTGGCGCAAACCTTTGTCGACATTGTTGAGCAGCATTCAGCACAATAACCGCGCTTTTGTGCTCTCCAGTCTGCTAAGCTTAGTAGAATGGGACAGAGCGCATCCTTAGCCCAAACCAGATTACATCCTATTCTTATATGATAAGGTACCTGACTTCTTAGTTGAAGTTTCCGGTTCCAGTAGGGAACCTAACTGAAAACTCGAGGACTGTGTTCCCAAGTACACAATCTGCTCTTATAATCACGTGCTCCATTTTCTTTTTCAATTCTCCTCGGCTCATATTCCATAACCCATGTTGGCTGGTCAATTAGCGACAGGGGCCCAGTAACCTAGTGTCATGTTCTGATCAGAGGCTATTGACAACTCTTTTTTTACTTTGGGTTAGATTCTTTTCCGTTGTTCTCTTACTGGTTACTGACTTCGTTTCTCCACGGAACTTCCTCCAATAGTTGAAACTCGCATCACCCCTTGCACCTCACATCCTTTTCTTCGTTGTTTTTTTTAGCTCCTTAACCCTCAAATGCTTGCATACTTTTGCCCGCGTCTGAAGTACATAAATGGTCAGGCCTTCGAGGAAGTCTGTTCAGATTTTACAATCCGCATTTTCCAAGAGGCTCGTACCATCATGGAACCGCATGTAAGTGTCCTACCAAAATGTCGACTAGTCATTCATGAAAACGTTTAATTTGTCGGTCAGATTGTATGTTACATAATTCTGTGCATTTGGCGCTCTGATTCACCGCTGATTGTATACTTTCCGCCTACAGATCCGATCTAAGTGGGAATCCGAGTTCTCTGACCGCTGCCACGCCGTGAAGTCGCGCGAAGAACGTATGCGACTAATTGAAACTATGGTGCAGCAGTTGAGGGAAAAGAATTTCATGTTTGACGAGTCCCTTGGTCCGTACAGAAATCTACTGGTACGCGCATCCCTTGTTATTCACGTAATTTTTGGCCATCTTCTGTCCTCTCGGAGACTGACCCATATTTCGACTTCAGGCCTTTTATGCAGTAACTTTCTGTATAGCCTCTCAGGAAGAAGCTGCAAGTTTTTGCATACTATCAATTAGGAAATATACCTGCTGGCTGCGCCTTATGTTGACAGGCCTGTGTGGTACTTGCATTGGCTAATAACATCTTAACGGCGATAACTTCACCCTTCAAAGAGTTGGCCTCGGCACAATGAACCTCTTTTGATTTCACCTTTCAGGCGTATCGGTTTATAGAAGAGTACCTCCGGTCCAAACTTTACGGTCCTGAGGGCACTGATACCGATGCTGAAGCAGCGGAACGCCGACGTCCCCGAAAGCTAGTTGAACTAGTCTCCGAGGAGGGTTTTCCTCTGGGTAATGATG